TTTTTTTTTTTTTGTGGCTGGCTGGGGCCTGCTGGTTAGCAACAACTGGGAATTGGGCTTCTTCGATCCACGACTCTCCACATGCACAAAAGACAAAAAGTACGGCGGCGCAGCGTATCTTTCCATGTTGTAGCAGAAGATTCGTTCTCATTTTGCACAATTGTCGAGTAGTGGAGCGAGGCCTATTTTCTTGGTCTCTCAGGAGGAGTGTCGGGGTTTAGGGCTGCGAAGACTCTGATCGGCGCGCAAGAAGGGGGCACCCTCCTGCCTCGCTGTTCTGGACTGGACTACCGGTAGCTGTGCTATGGCGACCTCCCCCAACGCTGAGACAGTAGATCGGCGCCCAAGACGGGCATTCTCCGCTTGCCGTAGTACTGGTCTGGACTGGACTACCTACCGGTAGCTGTGCTACGGTACCGTCTCGCAATCCTGGGAACAGCAGAGCGCAACTGCTAACGGCTGACTCGTCGTCGTGGCAAGTCGACAGCGGAAGGAGATAGGCCGGGCATACTCACTCACAATCGCACTTTTTCACTTTTGGACGGAACTGCGGCCAGATGCATACGACGAGTCCGGCCGTAAATACAGTCCGGTACATCTAAGATAGTGGCAGTGTGAGCACGCCTTTAGGTAGTTCGTAGTAGACGCGATAGTCGTGTTCGAGGGAAGAACCACCGTAGTCGAGAAGAAGAGGGAAGTACCACCATAGTCGAGAAGAGGGAGGGAAGAGAAACACCATAGCCGAGTTTGACGGAAGAGAAACACCATAGCCGAGTTTGACGGAAGAGAACCACCATAGTCGAGAAGAAGAGGGAAGAGAAACACCATAGCCGTGTTTGACGGAAGAGAACCACCATAGTCGAGAAGAAGAGGGAAGAGAACCACCATAGTCGAGAAGAAGAGGGAAGACGCACTATAGTCGAGAAGAAGCACCATAGCCAAGTTGGACGTAAGAAGCACCGTAGCCCAGTTTGAGTGACGAAGAAGCACCATAGCCATAGCTGAGTTTGAGGGAAGAAGAAGCACCATAGCCATAGCCGAGTTTGAGTGAAGAAGAAGCACCATAGCCATGGCTCTCGCAGGGCGAAGGGGAAACGCAAGACTGCCGCCGGAGGTGAACAGGGTGTTGTATGTCAGAAATCTTCCTTTCAATATCACTGCTGATGAGATGTACGATATCTTTGGGAAGTATGGCGCCATTCGACAGATCAGAATAGGTACGACAAAGGACACACGCGGGACCGCCTTCGTCGTCTACGAGGACATCTACGACGCCAAGAATGCGGTCGACCATCTTTCGGGTTTCAATGTCGCTAATCGGTACTTGATTGTCCTCTATTACCAACAGGCAAAGATGAGCAAGAAGCTCGATCAGAGGAGAAAAGAGGAGGAGTTAACGAAACTCCAAGAGAAGTACGGAGTAGCGCCTGGCGATAAGAAGTAGACGTAGACGAGGGTTCAAACCATCATCATATCATCATCTGGACGGCTCAACGAGAAAATAAAAAACTCGATCAAAGCAGAAAAAAAAAAAAAAAAGTGGAGAAGTTTGACAAAAACCCCAAGGAGAATTACGACGTGCTGCTCCCCAAGCAGAAAAAAGAAGACGTAGCGCCTGTGGAGAAGAAGTAGACGAGGGTTCGAACCATTATCATCTGGAGGGGTCAACGAGAAAAGAAACGCGGCGACCAGAGAGAGAAGTAAAGAGGAGGGAGAGAGGAACTGACACAAACTCCACCAGATTGGAGGGAGGGAGAGCGGGAGTAGGGAGTATCATCGCTTGCGGAGGAAGAGAAGGAGACGAGGGTTCAAACCGCCATATGAACGGCCCAACGAGAAAAGAAACGCGGCGACCAGAGAAGGAAAGAGGAGGAAAGAGGAGGAGCTGGCAATACTCTGAGAGAGAGAGAGAGAGAGAGAGAGAGAGAGAGAGAGAACGCAGACGAGGGATCAAGTCACCACGGGGACGGCTCAACGAGAAACAAATTCGATCAGGGGGAGCTGCCACAACTTTTAAGAGAAGTATAAGTATGGCGCAGCGCCTGAGGAGAAAAAGTAGATGAGGGGTTCAAAGCACAAGCACCTGGAGGCTTCGACTAGACAGAAACTCCATCAGAGAGAAGGAAAGAGGAGGAGCTGACAAAAAAGAACTCCAACGAGAAGGAAAGAGGAGTATCGCCTGCGGAGGAAGAGAAGGAGAGAAGGAGACGAAGGTTCAAATCCCCACGTGGCCCACGTGGACGGCTGAACGAGAATGGCGACGGATCTGCATCGTCGATTCTTTCTGCTTATTTGTAGGATGGTGATTTTAACACAGCGACGATATATCATTCTTGAGCTGCTGGATTGATTCCTCTAAGCCCGGGGACGAGGTTCTACTAGCAAAGAGGATTCGTTTTAATGCATGCATGTGGACGTGTTTGTGGAGAGGTGCGGAGATTTCGACGGACGGATCTGATTTTCTGCATCATCCAGATTCAGGCGCATAATCCAATCCAACTTTGCTACTGGGAACTCGCCCCGGGCTTTCTTGCGGCTGCTGTTGGGCATCTCTCTGTGAGGCTGTGGGGCTCTAGCAGTGGGCGTGTCTGTATGTGGCCTTTTTTCTTCGACAGGGTACAGTAGCTGGGGGCTTGTATGTTGCCTTAATCTTGACAGTGTGGAGGAGGATGTCTGTATAACAATCACCCTTTCTTCGACGTTCCGAAGCTGAGATACTTTTCTTGTTAAGCGCGCTCTGGTGTGAATGGGACTCCTCGTTCTTCTTGAGCCGCTGTGATAAATTTACGATTGCACTTTTGAGTACATGAATGGCTGTGCACATACATGACAGTGCGCTCAACGTTTCTCTGGTGAACGTCCCAGTAAGGATTGTCATGGGCGTGTGTGTGTGTGTGTGTGTGTGTGTGTGAGAGAGAGAGAGAGAGAGAGAGAGGGAGAGAGAGAGAGAGAGAGAGAGAGAGAGAGG